TCGACTAGTCAATTCCTTCCTCCTCCTCCTTCCTCCCCGCCTCCTGCTGCCTCTATCAGATTGATGCGAAAAAAGGGGGAGGAGTGGTAATCCAAAGCAGCAGTGCCCCGGGCTCCATGCAACACCTCCCCTTTGAAATGCTGCCGCCAGAACCCACAGCAAGCCCCCTGTGCAATCAAATCCTCCCCAAACCCAGAGTCCCCATGGTGGCATTGCATCCAAATTGCCGTACACAGAACCCTCTCAACACACACCTGGATGCCCCCACATTAAGCCCCTCTACACTTGGATCTTGCCTTGCTGAGCCTGTCTACCCACACCTGATGCACCTGGTAGGGTGGAGCAAGGCCCTAAGGTGTTATTGGGCAATCCCTAGTTTTGCACTATATTAAGGTTGGGTGCATCAAGAAAACTCTGAACTCATCTACACAGCATGGCAATTAGCATGAAAGGGGTGTGAATTCTAAAGCTCACTTACAGTTTGGTAAAAAACTGGCCCATGTAGCTCTATTGTTGTACACTACAAGTTCCCTAATGCATTCAATGTAATACTGTTTCAACAGACTTTTTGAACAGTGCAGACAAGTTTCCTCTCAAACTGTAGAAAGAGACATCCTAGCAGAGAGTAATAAGGCTGAAAATTAAAGCTCATGAGGACATTTCTGGAAGCATGCCAACTGCAGATCCCTTTGAAATTGCCAGAATGTTGTAGTTTTTTGAGGAATGCAGTTTTGCTCAATTCTGCTTTGGGATGTTACATTTTTATTAATCAACTAATCAAGTAGTCGATGGAATTTCCATCAACTACTTTATTTGTCAATAAGGTGGGAGGGGCACTCGCTATCCCCACTGCCCTCTGCCTATGAAATGTACTACATTTCAAAGGGAAAGGTGCAGCGGAGAACCCAGCACAAAGCTGTCCCCACTTGTGCCAGGTCCTGACTGCTGAGCCTCTGCCTTTGAAATATAAAGGCAGTGGTGCCACAGTCAGGACCCGACACAGTCCCTGCTCACGCCGGGTTTCCCGCTGTGCCTCCGCCGCCCTGTCCATCCGCACCCGCACCCGCACCCGCACCAGGGAGACGGTGTTGAGGGAACCAGCTTTTAAGCCAACTCCACCCCACATTGGCCCTACTTCCCCTTTCTGCCTCTGGGGGGAGGGGAAGGAGGGATGCAAGTAGTTGACTCAACTAGCCGAGAAGCCTAGGCTTATCAGGTAGTCGACTACTTTTTACATCCCTAATTCTGCTGCCCACCTACTGTTGATAAAAAAAAAAAAGGAGGAGGTCTCTAGCACTTGCTTCTCCCTTTCCTTGTAGCTGCTCACTAGGGATCTTCAGAATTTAGGCTGCTTCCGATAGCATATGAGGTGTTTCCATCTGATGTCACCAGCAATGGACAGAGTCTACTTCCAAAGAGCAAGAAAAGACAGACCATACTATATATACATACACTATATATACAAACACTTAAAAAAAAAAGACCTTTACTAGGCTATAACACATCCTATCTGGCACTCAATTTTTTCATAACAAAAGGATCAGCTACTCTATAGCACAAAGATGGGAAACCAAAGGCCCAGGGGCTGGATGCAGCCTCCAGCTTGCCTGATTCCAGCCCAGGAGGCTCAGGGTCCCCTCCACTATTGGGGAGCTTCCACAGATGCTCCAATCCCCCCGCTTCTCATTTGTGTGTGGCCCCTAACTGATTTTTCTGTGGGTCAGTGGCCCGACCCAAAAAAGGTTCTTTCCCTGCTATAGCACTATACAAAAAATAAAAAACATTTCACCTGTGTGGCAATACTATACGGAAAGTGAATGTTTAGCATAAGAGCATACGAGAGAGAGATATATAGTCCTGATACCAAAGAGCTTTGTCGGCAGTGTGCTTCTGCTGTTCACAAAATATAGTCTCTATTAGGTGTTGCTGAATGGGTGAGACTTGTGCTGTTGTGCCTAAATCATGAGTCATGCAGAAACTGAATAAAGTGAAGAAGGGAAGAAATGAAATTATAGAGGATCTAAGATCAGAGGGGAAAAAATGCTTATGGATATGTGTCTATAAAATGTTATTTAAATACAGCAAAGACTAAACACTGTCTGAACAATGCTAAAAGATATTAAGGATCAGTAAGTCTGAGACCATTTACAGTCCACTGGCAAAGTGCCTTTATGATCCATCAGACCTTCACACTGCTGTGTTGTAATCACCCTCATCATCACATTACAAAGCAGATTTTATATATGATAGAGTTGGAACAAAGTCACCTCTACTACCAAAGACTACTGAAACAAACAAAATATATCCCAAAAACTATTTCTGGACAATTCACATTTCTATTTTTAAACACAAGTTCATGATGACTCATGAGTGGTTATTCTTCTTACAAGCACAAATAAGTTACTACACAGCAGGGAGAATGTCCGCTCTTATTTCTATCACCAATTAGCATTGAGATTTTTTTAAAAACATTACTCCACACATCTTTCAACTTTCACAGTAGGTCTTTAAGTTAATGAACATTTGCAGTACTGTTGTATCCATGTTGGTTCCAGAATATGAAAGACACAAGGTAGAAAGAGGATAGCTTTTAATGGACGAACTTCTGTTGGCAGAACAAAACTGAGGTGTTCTTTCCCACTTCACTTGAAATGGTTTCTTGCAACGGTTTCTTGCAACATGCTTTAAGCCATTCTGCTCAACAATCAGTCTTGTTCTGTATTTAGCTGTGACACAGCAGTGGTTACCTTCTCCAGCTCTGAAGCTCGAAAACTTGTCTCCTTCACCAAGGAAAATGCAATACAAAATTTTACTTCACCCACCTTGATTCAGTTAGTGACAGTGTCATTGGGATGCTCATTTTATTTCTGCTAACAAATGATCATTTAAAGAAGTACTAAGAATACCATACAATAAACTATATACCACACAGGTTGAACCTCTCTAGTCTAGCATGATTTAAGTTAGTGTGATGGCCACTTGGCCACACACACAAGTTTCCTACAGTCTCAGTTTGTTTACAGCCACCAGTCTCTTGGCATTCTGTGCTGCTATTTAGCTCTACGTTTATTCCTAAATGTCTTCTAAGAGCCCAATAAACAGTAGAAATGTTGGTAATACTGCTAGACAACTTTGACTTCACATGGTCCAGCAAATTCTCTAGTTTGGCATCAGTCAGGTCCAGAGGGTGCTGGAGTGGAGAGGGTCAACCATTAGAAAGGTCTCTTGTTAAATTACTGTGTTAACAATGTAAATAGAATTAGCCAGAAACAGGAATTACAAGTACCATGTCATGTGAAGGCTTTAGTTTAAGGGGAAAATACCCTTGCCAGATATCAAATCAACTGTCCAAACACAGACCATCTTTCCAGGGTTAAAAGTGTGTGGTAGTCTGCACTAACCATTACACCTATGAGTCCATACACCTTATGAGTTAATACATTAATATATGCACTGCTGATGCAATTAAAAAGCTGCAACATGCCCAGACTTAGAACAAAAGGTCCATGCAACTATGATCATAGCAAAAAAGGCAGAAGTCTTCACTTTGAACAATGGTGCCAGGATCATTGTAAACAGAAGCAAAAAAAATCTGTTGTGACAACAGCTCCACTGTTTACTGAAACTCTTTTTTGGCATGAGCTAAATCACATTGGTCCTTAGCTTTACCCTAATTTCCATTAGTTACTGGAGTCAACTGATAATAGCCAATAGATCAACTGAAAACTTCAAGAATCAAGGATGCAAATTTAAAATACAGAAAAGACTTCCTCCATTTCCCTATTCTGATCTTAACAGTGCAGCAGGCCAAAGAATTTTGTTCAATGCATGATATATTTGTCAATGAACAACATTACATAACAAATGGCCCAAAATTCTGCATGATGTAAATTTATCTATTTGAAGTTAGTTATCACATGACCCACTTACATTTTCTGGCAGAAGCCTGTTAGCCAGAAGTATGCATTTGCACAGAGGTGGGCAAAAGGGCCTCTGTTGGGCCAGTTCCGGCCCGCCAAGTGTGTTGATCTGGCCCATGGAGAGGAGGCCTTGCCATCCCCTCACCCCTAGGCCAATCAGCACCTAGGGGCAGGGGGGAAGTGCGAAAAGTCTCCTCCCATCCTGCCTCTGCCCTGCAAGGTGTGTGTAGCCCTTAGAAGCACTGTGTGCTCCTGGCAGAGCAGGAGGACGCTTCACGCGCTTCACCATCCCCTAAACCCTTCTAAGCACCGCACACTCCTTGCAGGATGGGGGGAGACTTCGTACGCTCCCCAGGCCAATCAGGATTTGGGGGCAGAGTGAGCACATGAAGTCTTCCCCTGTCCTGCAAGGGGCTCAGCACTTGAAGTCAACTGCCAGCTGCTGCTCAGTTGGCAGTTGACTCTAAACATGGTGCTCCCTTGCAGGGCGGGGGCAGGGAGTGAGAAACATCACATGCTCCCCCTCCCCAGACCCTGACTGACCAGGAGGCAGCAGAGGGGAGTATGTGAAGTTCTCTCCCACTGCAAGGGAACAAGGATACCTAGAAGGAATTGCCAGCTTTTCAGAACTCTCCCACCCCCAGACCAATCAGGGTCTATGGGTGGGGAAGCATGAAAGTATCCTGGCCCCACCCCTTCTGCCTGAGGGCCCTTTCCCAGGGGGGGGGGGGGGGGGGGGGGGGGGAGTGCCAGCACAGGGTCCCTTGCAAGCCCCAACATGCAGCAAAATTTTTTAGAAACTAGAGTTTATAAATTAAAACATGTGAATTTAGAATGAAATTTAGTAACTGCTTTTGTTAAGTAATGAACCAGTAAGCACACTGGAGAACAGCTGAAAAATGCATATAACAAACTATAACCATAATGCTATAATTTCAACTTCTTGCTGGCACTTTGAACATTTACATTATCAAGTGAGATGAACATTAATGGATGGTGGTGTCCAACAAATAAAAAAGGTAACAGCAGCTATATAGCATCAGAAACTTTGGAACAAGAAAAATAGGATATTGATCTTACCTTTAACACTTTTTCTATTAACATCAGCACCTTTTTCAAGCAAATACTGAGCAATTTCTTTGTGTCCTTTGTAACATGAAATCATCAGGCACGTATGCCCATGTCGGTTTGATACTTCCAAGTCAGCTTTATGCTCCACGAGGTATTTTACTATTTCCAGGTGCCCATCAAAACAGGCTGCCCTAAGTGGGGTTGAATTTGTCAGTGTTGTGTTGTTTACCGATGCTCCATGATCTAACAGACACTGGACTACCTTCAAATGACCAGCAGCAGAAGCAGCCCATAAAGGAGGAGCACCCTCAATGGTCTCACCATCAAAATTCACTGAGCCACCAACTTCAATAGAGGCACAGCAATGCTCCAGCAAGTATTCCACCATATCAAGATGCCCATAACGGGCTGCCATCAAAAGTGGTGTAGCACCACTAGTTTTTTCAGACATTAGCAAGGCCACCTCTTCTTTAGTTTTGTTTGCCAGTAACTTTGCAAGGAGCCGCAGTTTGCCATCACGAGCTGCATTGAACACTGCTGTCTTTAGATCCATTTAGTCTGTGCCTCTTATCCTTCCAGGATACACACCTGCCTTTCTTCCGAGTCACAGATAATGGGACTACTGGAGCTACACGGTGCACATAGAGGCTCCACACCCTTTTCTGAGATCTGTATTATCTCTGTGAACAAACAAGAAAACTCTGATGAATCAAATTAGGTCCTAATAATTCAAAGCACAGACAGTGCCCAGCAATCTGAAAGAGAAAAGAAAATGGAAGTGTTTTTCTTTTGCCTTTTTAATACACTAAACCAGTGGTTTTCAACCCTAGGCAGGGTCGTTACCATAGAACAGTGATTTCCAATCGGTGGTCCGCAGACCTCTAGGGTCCCCTGACTGCGAAGACTCCCAGAGGAGTCTATGCCTCCATTCGCAATTTTGTAGCAATCCGCGAATGAGAAAGGCTTGAAAACCAATGCCCTAAATGCAGCGACACTTTCCTACGCCTTCGCTCAAACTGACCGCCCACTGCCTGTGCCGCGCGGCACCAAACCTCCCGAGAGAAAAGGAAGCGCCACCTTCGGGGGCTTCCCCGGGTTTTGGGGAGCGCCCCCTCCCGGGAGGCTGGCGGGAGTGAGCGCGGATCCTCCCCCGGCCTCGCTCGCACGCCTCGCAGGAAAGCCCCTCTGCGCCGGCCACAGGCAACCGCGCCAGCTGCACCAACTTGAGCCGGACCCAGCCCGGGCAGGGGGCGCCGCTCTCCCCGGCCCCGCCCCGCCCCGCCCGGGCCAGGCAAGGGGAACGAGACCGGTCTTGGGTGGGGTGGGACCGGCCCGGGGCAGGCAGCCCCCAAGCTCTCCCGCCCCTGCCTGGCAGGTTCCCAGCCCCACAGACCCCCCAGCCGCCTACCGCGCCCCTGGGACCCGGAGACCCCCCCGCCCCCCGAACAGGCTCCGAGCTACCTGCCCCAGGCGCGGCGCCCCCCGGCTCCCTCTCCCCGGAGCCGCCTCAGCGGGAAGCCTCCGCCGCGCGCCGCGCCCCGTCCAGCTCCTCCATGACAGGCGCGTCCCCACAGCGACGAGCGCCCAAGCGCAGCCAAACCGGCCGCGTCGTGTCCTCCGCCAGGAGCCCCAATGGGGAAGGGGCCGCCGCCCAGCCAGCCACTAGGAGCGGGAACGCGCCGCGCGGAGGGCGGGGCTTCGCCCGGGCTCAAGCTAGGCTGAGAGCGCGCAGAAGGGGAGGGTTGCTCAGCGGTGGGCGGAGAGCGCTCAAGTTTCCTTACAGCTGGTCTGAGCCTTCCCCCTGCCCCAGCTCGCCAGGAGCCTAATGGGCTTCCCGTGGAGCCGCGTGTGCGTCCTCCCTCCCTCCCTCGCCCGGAATACAGAAGCCGCCATGTGATGGGGACTGGATGAGTCTGCCTCAGTTTCCCCCTCTGAAAAATCATGCCTCCTCCCCAACTTTGTAAAGCGCTACAGAGATACAAACATGTAGGAGCTGAGCCTCGTGTTGCGCTGTTCCCCTCGAGTTTTGCATTGGGGTGTTTAGCTGTCACGTGAATCCAGGATTGCACTCAAGCTTGCATGGGTGAGGGGACTGAATGGCTCAGGAGACTGGTGATGTGCTGACTGTCAGCTTTGCAAGCAGCCTCTGTAGGAGGTTGGATTTGAAAGACTTCTTAGCGCCCCTAAAAATGGTCTTTCCACCTTGATATTAGGGCACATTAGAGGTAACATAGGGAAATCTGCACTACTTCTATCCAAACTGGTACTAGCACTGCAACTTCTGGGGCTATGAATCGGACACCTTTCACAGAATTAACTACGCTTTAAAAAGTGAGGCTCTCCTAATTTCAAGTGGATGGTGCACTGCCAGGCTTGCTCTGAGACTTAGAAGTGTTTATGAAAAAAGTAGGAAGGAATTAGGTCGCTTGGACCTCTCCCACCCCTCCCCACTCCTGTTACCAGAGAAACCAAGATCTCTCTATATCCCAGTCTATGGTCAAGGGGGGAACCTCCCAGCTCTCCCCTATTGTGCCTCTGACCCTGAAATAGGGAGAAGGGAAGAATCAGCTCTAAGAAAAGTTTCGGGGGCTGTGGTGTAGCCAGACATGAACCCCATCTTGTTCCCTCCCCCCCCCAGAGCAAGAGAAAGGCAGTCAGCCTTTGATGCCCTGGGAACACAGGTGTGCTGCCTGTCCCTGACTCTACCATAAACAGAAACCAGACAGTAAATGGGCTAGCTGACAACCCGGGGCCTCCCGCCGTCCTGATGGCTAGTACCAGTAATTGACACGCCTGCACTGTCCCAGGAGAGGAATCTTCGCCCATCACATACCAGAGGTGCCCATTGTCTGCATTTTCCCAGGTGTGAATTATGCTTTGCACCCTTCATGGGAAACTTGGCATTCAAAGCCATTTTTCCTAATTGGCCACTTGAGACCAGGAAGAAGCCTACATGACCCAAGGGGTATAAAGAGGGGTATAGTAGCCCACCCTATTTGAGCTCCAATCATCTATACCTGCTGGCAGGTATTGATTGTCTCCTGAGGTCTGTGGGACGCCCAACCTTGCCCTACTTCTTCCTGAGAGATTGAGAGAAAGACGCTGGCCATGCCAAGTCTGGAACGCAGGGGTGAGAATTATACCTGCTATGTGTCTATTTTGCATGCATTTAATAAGAGCTCAGAGAACCAAAGGGGTTTCATGGTACCTATTAGTGACTTCTTAGTGTAATTTCTGTCCTGTCCTTTGTAGTGGCTGTGTTATCTGTAACACAGCAGTAGCATTTAACAACTAAGTTTATCCTGTAACAATAAAATAGTAACTGTTTAAGCTTTACCCTGACTCCTTCAGTTGCTGTAACAGAACCAAGCACAATTTAAAAGAACTTCAGCCAGTCATAAGGGACTCACTGCCCTGACCATCGGCTGACAGGTGGGTAGAACCATAGTCTGTTTCAGTAAAAACAAGGAGTCCTGCAGCAAATGTATTTGGGTATAAGCTTTCAAGGGCTAGAGTCCATAAATGTTAGGGCTAAGAAAGCTAATTTCCTATGTTGCCTAGGGCTCATAACTACCTTGGCCAGTCATAGGCTAGGATTCCTTCCTGGGATGATTCTCCTCTTATCACATTCCCTCTCTCCTCTCCCTGCCCCTCTGACTTCTCTTTGGCTACGTCTAGACTGCAAGCCTCTTTCGAAAAAGAGCGTCTAAACTACAACCAGTACTTTAGAAAAAGCAAACCGCTTTTTCGAAAGAGAGCACTCAGGCAGTCTGGATGCTCTCTTTCAAAAAAGCACGGTTTGCATTACATAGTGCCTTTTTTCGAAAGAGCATTTTCGAAAAAAGACATTTTTCCTCGTAAAACGAGGTTTTCCGTGGTCAAAAAAACTGCTGTGTTCTTTCGATTTACTTTCAAAAGAACGTGGCAGCAGTCTAGATGCAGGGGATGTTTTTTCGAAAAAAGGCCACTTTTTTCGGAAAAAACCTTTAGTCTAGCAAAAAACCCTAGTGACATACTTTAGCTACTTAGACCATGTTAACATAGTCCAGAAGGAACTACATGGGACAGCCAACCTGTGGCTTCAGTGGTGAATCCAGCAGTGTCCCCCAATCCATTTGAAATTGCCACAGGTTCCCTATCAGACCCTCACTGAATAGCCTGTCCAACTCTGTTTGCTGTAGAAGAATTGTCATTCACACCGCTCTCTTTATCAGTATTGCCCATTATGTTGATAGATCCTGAGTTGTGCAGGTCTGTCTCACATTTTGGAAGATGAATTTAAAGGACATTTACAAATTCTGAATTTATTGTGGCTAGGGAATCACCCAGGATGAAGAATCATCATGAGGAAATGCTATGATCAAGTAGAATTTGTCCCAGAGAATAAATACCACCATCTTGGATCTTCAGAATTTAGAGATGCTTGTTAACCCTTAAGAAAATGGCTAGCTTCAGTTGATTGTTCTATCAGGGCTGGCCAGATAACCTGGAACTTCTGACAAATGCTGTGCTAGGAAAGAGAGAGATGGTCAGCTCTATCCTGAACACACCTGGAAACTCCCCTTTTGTCAATTTTACTCTGTTGCATTTTCTCAAACCAAAAAGCAACAGGGGATTGTGTCAAGCTGTTGGGTGGATCAGATGGAGACTAGATGCCACAGTGGCTCCATGAAGATTGTTCAGCGAGTGGACAAGGAACAAGCTACTCTCACCTCATTCAAGGTGTAGGGATTTTTTTGAAGGCATTGTGAAAGGTAGTATTAGGATGGCAGGTTCAGCCCTTTTAAGAATCTGAGAGAGGTGGGGCTAGGACACAAGAGGGACAGGAGCAGGTACTTCAGGACTAATCCTCTTCCATTAGCTCCATTGGCAATAGAATCAATCTTATTCAAGATATAAAGTTTCATTTGAACATGGGAATATGGGCAGCAACCCATGAATAACCAGGGACCTGTTCTGTAAGCTACAGAAGGGATGGGGATACACACATAGTAGTGATACAAAAAATATGTATCTATAGGAGATAATGGACAATAATTGTATATACAGAAATAAAACATCACAGAAGACCAGGCTGCTGTAAGTGCCTTTTTATGCAACACAAGTGAGACACCATATACAGAATACTGGTTACACTTCTGTAAACATTTGGACCAGAAAGATAAAAACAAATTAGAGGGAATTTGGGAGAATAGCAATTAAAATTACCATGGGGATGGCTATATGACTGCATGAGGAAAGATTAAAAAGTAACTATCTGTATCTTGGTGTGACTAGGCGTCTGCTCTTTAAAGACACTCATCATTGGCAAGAGGGTGTGGACCTGGTGCTTTAAAAGTAAAACCCAACCCTGGGAGAGGGTTGAGAGCAAAGCGTGCAGCTGAGGCAGATACTGCCAATTAGGGGCCAGCTGGAAGCTCTGGCCTAGCCTGACTCCCGGGCTGTAGGGATTGAAGCAAGGCATCAAAGTGCTAGGGCTGTGTGGAGTCAGCCAGGATAAGCAAAGTCATCAGGTCCACACCCTCTTACCAATGATGAGTGGCCATTTCAGATTGCAGTTTGCCCGTGGCAGGAGCTAGATGAAGATTGGAAGTGAGTCAGTGAGGCAAGGTGGGTATAGGGAAATTGGGGTTCCCTGGAAAGGGAGGCCCCCACAGTAAAGAGACTGACAAACAACCCCTCTCCCCCTGGAAGGGGGCTGAGAGACACTGAAGCGTGCACTGCTGGAGGGCAGAGTTCTGAAAAGGTCACCATAGTCTGGGAGCAACATGGGTCTGGAACTGAAGCAAGTAGTGAGGACATGGGGAGACAGCAGCCAGAGTGAGGTGCTTCATAAATGAGCTATTTCCCAGTGCTACCAGCAGGAAGCACCATAGCAGTGAGTGTCTGCTGCATGACACTTGGCTAAATGCTAAATTAGGATTAAATGGGGATTCAAGGCTTATATAGAACTACCTACAAGTACTGAAAGGGAGGGAAGGATTATTTAAGATGGTTTGGCGGTTTTCATGAGCAGTAATGGTATGTAACAAAGGAAAATATATGCTTACTATCAACAATGACCATTTGGTGAGGTTATATTAGACTACAATAATCACATAAAAGGTTGTGGAAGCCTAGAGCTTTATTTGTTTAAAGTTAAGACTATATTATACAATCTAAATTGTATATAACAAGAATATACTCTACAGAAGAGTTCTGTTCTGGCAGAGAGAAAGATAAGAACCTTATGTCTTGCCTTTCTAACTTCTAGAGTATTCCACATGATTCCCTGGAGAGAAATGTAAGGCATCACCCTTAACACACTTCCTACTCCTCCAAAGCCCTGATCCAGTAATGAGCTTTGCATGAAACTCGCTGAAGGATTGTGCCACTGTAGACTATTGAGAGTAGCCCTAATGATGTCCCAGGGAATATTAATGATCGTTAAGTACTATTTCCAGCAGTCCTTCAGGAGTGGCCTATGGACTGTAGAAATTGTAGCCACAGAGCTGTCCTTACATAGGTAAGACTGGAGGTATATTGTGGCAAATTTGTAAGGGGGGAGGAGGGGAAATGGATTTGTCTTGAAATTTTACTTAACTGAAAAATCTGGAGCGTGG